TCCCAGGGCGGGGGGCCTGGACCACAGGACTCCCTATGTTCTCCCCATGTATACGCCTACCCTATACCTGCCTTCCTAAATCACTGCCTGGATTGAGGGAATTCTTCCTCAAGTCAGAGTGTGTGCATTTCCTTTTCAGGAGGCTCAGGAGAAGCGCCCTTGCGCCCTTGTGAAGAACAAAGGAGAAGCTGTGCTCAGGAGCCGAGGCCCCTCCCACCAAGCCTGGGGTAGCTCAGTGTCACTTTCCCAGAATGCCCGGTGACTTTGGGGCCCATATGTTCCATCTCTGTTATCATCTGTTCGGGAACAAGCAGAGCGGAACTGCAGGAAGGGAGAGTGGAGGCATTCCTCCAGTTGGGAAGGCTGATGGCCGCACTGCAGGGGAGCATTTTGCCCAAGTGCCCTGGGAGGAGGGCGGAGAGGGACGGCATCCACTGCTCTGGTGCAGACTCTGCCCCTTTCCTGCCCTCCTTGGCTGCGAGGTGACTCCCATCTCCTGCGAATCCCTGATGCTTTACATCGCCTTGCAAGGGAGTGAGCTGGATGAGCGGTGCTGCCCCCAGCTACTGTTGACTGGTTTGGGAGGGCTGGGAGGAGGAACCACAGAGGGAGACAGAGGGGGCGGGGGAGAGACAGGCAGACGTGGAGCCTGTCTCTGGAGGTCAAGGCATCTAGGGCTGTGATGTGAATTTTGGAGCTGTTGGTAGAGTGGACCACTACGTAACTGAACACACCAAGAAAGCCTGTGTGCAGGGACCGAGGGCATATAGAGCTGCTCAGAGAGGGGCACAGCAGAGAAGAAGGTGTGGGAACAGCATTGGAGGCCCCGGGGGCCATAATACCCGGGCCTGGCGGCATCTCTGCCTGCAGGGTCCGTGAGCATCTCACAGTCTGTGGTAGAGGCACCGAGTCATGTACTTGGGCACTATAATCTCCACTTTATAGATGAGGGAATGGAGGCTGCAGGCTCATGGTTGACCTGACTGGGCTCCCCGAGCTGGGGCTGGGTCAGAAGTCCTCTAACTCAAACCCTGGGCTCTCCCTGGACTGGCCTAGGGCGGACAGAAGTGGAAGAATCAACACCCAGATCGCAATCCCCCTCACGCCTTATTTCCACCATGTGATTCAGGCCTGCTTGGCCAGAGAGGGGACTGAGGCTGCAGGCTCTGAGGCTAACCCGTTCCAGTCCTCATCTGTCTCAGTGCCGTCCCTTGGACACACTGGGAGAGTGGCTGTCACAGTGGCCAGTCACTCTTACTTAACTCTCCCTCCTCCCATCGGCCTCGTGTGAGAAGCAGGGACCATCATCCCATTTTACAGAAGAGGAAACTGAGGCATGGGGAGGGGACGTGCGGGGGCTGAACTCAGATCTTCCGGTTTCCGCGCTTGTGCATTTTCAAGGCTGGACTGCATCCCTTGTGACCTGGTATATGACTGGGACTGCCCCAGCCCTGTGACATACGATGCAGGGGTTCCTTATGAGTTTAACGAGCAAGCACCATAAGTGTGATGGACAGTTCTGGGGAAAGCAGGAAAATCACTCGGTTGCCCTGAGATGCCCGAGTTCCCAGGAGGCTCTGGACAGGTCTGAGCAGACGCCCTAGGTGTCCTGGCCACAGGCCCGGTGTCCGGGGATGGGTGGAAAGGGCACACCAAGGAACACTGAGAGCAGCACCATGGACAGTGCTGGGGGACAGGCACCTGCCAAGGGCTTTGCCCTGTTTTCCCACCGAATCCCCACACTCACTCTGGATGCGCTCACAGCTATGCATCTCCACTCACCAGGTGAAGAAACAGACACACAGGGACCTGTCTGAGGTCACTGAAGCAAGTGGCTGGGCTGGACTCCTGACATGGGTCTCCTGATTCCAAATGCTATGCTCAGGACCACATGTTCTCCTGCCCCTGCAACCAGAGAGCTGACTTCGCAGGCCCCTCTCCGGTGTCTCTGAGACCCAGGGAAGGTTCCAGCCCCCTGAGGAGTTCGGGTGAAATGCACATCCCTCCCAGGCACAGGAATCCAGGTGTGGACAAGCGCTTGGAGCCCTATGATGCAACCAGGAAGAGTGGGAGCATGGCATGGTCCCCCTCCCTGGAGCTCCCACATGCTGCTGATCACCAGCCCAGGTGACCTCCCCAGACGCCTAGGTCTCTGTCCTCCATACAGAAAGCGTGTTAGGGGACACTCTGCGGAGGCTGGCAGGTGCGTGCAGGCTGGAGCTGCGAACGATCGCACTGGCCTCATCACCAGGCAGTGGGAGACACTCTCACTTCCCGGATTCTCTCAGGGACAATTGCAACAATTAAACCGGCGCGGGTTGAAGTATTATGGTCCACAAACTTCGCCACAGAAGATGGAGACATAAATGAAGGGAAAAGGATGGGACTGTAAGAGGCAGGATGGATCCAAAAGTGGGACACGGAGGAGAGCGAGGGACACGAGTCAACAACAACCCAAGACGGCTGGCGTCACGTGGTACAGACGCCCCCGCCAGTGGGGCTGAGAAGCAAATGAAGCCGGTGCAGTGAAGGGCGGTGGTGAAAACCCAGGAACTCATGAAGAAGAACTGTGGTTCAGTACACTCTCTCCTTCATCTGGGCATTTGTGTTCAGTGTTTCGCTAGCGTTTGACTCTCTAGCTCTACAAAAATGTCCCTGTTTTTTTATTTTAATGCCATAGGAATTTTATTTTAATGCCCACCCATTTCATCATGATGAGATTGATAGTGGGATACTCTGGAGCCCCTCCAACGTGGGGCGCTCTACACTTCTTTCAAAGGAGGCAGGGAGAGGATGGGTTAGTGTGCCCACCGTGTGGGCAGGAACTGGGGCTCCAAGCCTGCCCCAGTAAGTGCTGCCTGAGGCTCAGGTGTTTGGACTCCTAGTCCAGTGCTCATTCACTGACCTCTCAGTTGGGTCTCAGGTTTCTCACCAAGTAGGAATTTACCTTTCTGGGGCCTTACACTTTATTCTCTTGCATAACTTTCTAAAGAACATAATGCATTTGAGTCATTTAATAACTTGGTGTGGCTGCCATGCTTGGTACATGGCAGGCCTGTGGCATGGCAAAATGATCTGTATGCTCTGCATGTCCACAGCTATTCACCAAGCGCTTGCTGCGTGCCTTCTGGCAGCCGTACTTCTGCACATGGCCTCGAACCCTCCCAGCACCGCCATTTATAGACAGAAGAAACTGAGGTGCCAAGGAACGTGATGTGGGGCAAGGTCTCAGAGCTAGGGAGTGGCAGGGCTAGGGCTTGAACCAGGACTCTTT